TCACTGTTGCTCCCCCTGCCCGGCACGTTTTTCAAGCCACCAGGTCTGGGACTCTAACCATAGAGTTGGTCTTGTGGGATCCAGCTTCCTCAACCACCATGCCACCTGACTGGCCCTCAGTGACTCTTTTGACTATAGAAAGCCAGCCCTCTGGGCTTTCCAAATAAACCAGTCCTGGCCCATTCCTCCTTGTTCATCCTTCGCTGGCCTATTTGGAAGTGGCTGAGCAATCTGAAATGTGGCTCTGGGGACTCACCCCAGCCACCCCTGTAGGCACCCAGCTCCTGCAGCCCCCTTTGTGTGACAGTAGCCAACAGGCACAGCCCAGAGAGGGGAGGGTTCCCAGCCCTTCTCATAAACTGCCAGGAGGAGATTTCTTACATGTTGTTTTAACAGGTTGATGCAAAATAAATAAACAGAGAGGAAGGGAGATGGAGATGGATGGTGTTCAGTAAATAACGGTACAGTGGTCAGGATTTGAAGGGAGCTGGTGGGGAGGCAGTTTCCCACCTAAGCACTTGAGACAGGAGAATTAACTGGGAGCCCAGACAGGGAGCACAAACAGCGCAGTAAAGATTGCCAGAGCTGCAGATGTGTGTCTGGGAAGATAAAATGGCACATTACATGTGCGCCGTCCCAGGAACCTCGCCAAGGAGGCCTTTGGGGTATCTTTCCCCCACCCCTGCCCATTGGACTGTTTGAAATGAGCACAGGTCTCAGCCTGGGGAGGGCAGCTGGCTCTGCCTCTCGAGACTAATAGTTATGTACTCCTTTCTAGATGCTGGGTTCCCAGAGAATTAACCCCTGCTTTTGGAGAAAGGCTTTTATTGTCTTATCTAATATGATGCTCATTCCTTTTCTGAATGTGTGTTAACTAGACACTGTTGATGTGAACTCTGCAGAGTCACTTCAGGGAGGGAAGTGGCCTGTGGATGGGGGGGACGGTCCTTTGTCGCTTATGATTAACGCTAAGAGGGGGTGACCCAAGAGAAGATTGAAATGGGAGAGTGGATGAGAGGAAGGACAGAAAAATACACATTTTTGAAACGTCCCCTCTGTGCCTAGTGTTTTTTTCTTTTCATCTCCATTTTAACCTTCTGGAGTGGATATTTTTATCCTCACCACATTGGATAAAGAAACTGATGCTCAAAGGGGATAGGTAACACAGAGCAAAGAAGGAAACCCAAGGTTCAGAGAGATCATAATGGAAATTAAAATGGTGCTACCAAAAGAATAAGCATTTGTTTGGGGGTATCTGCTAGACTGATGCTACTGCTCTTCTGTGGACAAAACACAAGGTCTTCGGCCCCTGCACTGATCCCCACTGGCGATAATAAAGCAATGTGACTTCCTGTGTGCTTGCCAGTCTGTATACACAAACGTTAAGCCTCCTGTGTTTATCGTTCTGAAACATCCAAGTATCTATAAATGAAAAAAGAGGAACATGAGCTGGAAGGAGACACGGTTCTTCTCATTGCCTTAGAGTGATCGTTTCTGTTTGTGCCCCTTTGTGCCATCCAGGTATGACTTCATTGAGATTCGGGATGGGGACAGTGAATCTGCTGACCTGCTGGGCAAGCACTGTGGGAACATCGCCCCGCCCACCATCATCTCCTCAGGCTCCATGCTCTACATCAAGTTCACCTCTGACTACGCCCGACAGGGGGCAGGCTTCTCTCTGCGCTATGAGATCTTCAAGACAGGTCAGTGTGGTCACGGTGGGGGCCTGGGAGATGGGCATGTCGGAGGAGAAGGTGGAGATGGCCATCTGTGACTGGCCTGTGGGTACCGTCTAAGGGGCAGGTGGGGGACAGCAGCCTAGCTGGCTGAGACAGGTGGTAAGGGTTCCAGTTTCATCCAACTGGAGCACTGTGACAGAAAGGAGAAAGCTTCAGGGTGAACCTGGAGATGAAAAACTGGTTCGGTTATCATCCAGCTTGTGGGGCGAAACTACAGGGTGATGGACAGACCAGGCATTCTTTGTGGCAGGGTAAGGGCACTGAATAAATAGACAAACAAAAACTAATTTTTTGTGTGTGTTTTTAAAAATCAAACTAATCTTCATGGGAAAAAGCAAAACTTGGTTGAATTTCCTCCCAATTACTTCATGGTTTAATGTTGTCTTTAACTGGAATTACAGGGGCCTGAAGGACATAATCTTTTCATTGTTCAGAGTCTCTAAAGATCTTACCATGACCCCCCAAATGGGGTCACACCAGGGCTTTTAAATTACAATAAGACTCCTAGAAATCCCCTTTGGCAATCCATCTGACCACCTCTACTCATTGAACCCCTTTTTCCTAAACACCAGTAGAGCAGACTCCCTGAAACACAGAAAGATAGCAGAAAAGGAGACAGAGAACACTGCATACTTTCTAAGTTGACTGCTTGCTTTCCATTAAGTCTCCTTTTAGATTACTTTAGGGCCTGAGAATATGGGTCGGTGCTCATTTCCGTAACTGGGGAAGCGGACTTTTATTCACAAGATGCTGCTTCAGCACCTACACATAAGCTCTCAAGTAGTGTGTCCTTCTCTCTACCGTATGGAGCTCTTTATCTGCAGGGAAAGGGAAGCTCATCCTCCAGTTCCCCCTCACCCCGGCCCTGCTCCCCACCTCTGAGGCTCCCGCTGCAGCAGCCTAGGTTTTACAACTTGTGGATAAAGTCTGGTTCAAGGGGAGGCCATCAGCCTTGTCATCGAGAGGCTCGAGTCCGGCGCCTGTTGAGTTCAGTGTGAGGGGAACTATTCATATATATTTTCCTTTTCACTAAACAGTTCTTGAAAGGAAGTGGTAGCTGCTGAAAGCACTTTTTCTATCCACTCTGTCTAAATATTTGTCAGATTTGTCTGCCTGAGAACAAGAACGTGGAATCAGATGACGAGGTGGGGGCTGAGGGAACTGTGTCAGGCCCAGCTGTCACAGGATTTAGGTCCTAAGAAGCTCTGCCTGCCATGGGTATTCACACCCCTAACCATGATGATGTCATGGGACCTGAGAGTCAATGGTGGCTCAAGGCTGACAAGGGGCCTGTGAAGAGCTTGATCTGCATTCCCTTGAATCCTGAGCAAGACTCAGATCAATGCCACCAGCACCTATGAAACATCCTTTGCTGCACAGCAGTGGAGAAGGAGAAGCAAGGAATAAAATGAGGGGAGAGGATACCCACTAGAAGGTCGGGAAGACCGGTATATAAACTTCAGTACATAACAGATGCACCATCGATATTAGATGAATATATGGGGGTACTTCAAAAGTGTCATAGAAAAAAATGGAACAGATGTACACATTTATTTAGGTGGAAAAATGCTTAAAGTCCATGCATAGTTTCATCATAGTATGTATTTTCCACGAACATTTTGAAGAGTCAGTGTATACATAAATTGAAGGGAAAACTATAATGTGAAGCAGAATGAGGTTATGAAAAGAAGGGAGTAATAGAGTGGCTTAAAAGGGGGTCTGGGCAGTCTACTCAATAGCAAGGTCCCTAGTGAGTGCTGGAGCTGTCATTCATGTCCACTGTGCTGACCAGGGAAAGAAACAGCTCCAAGCAAGACTTGCCAGGAAGCTGGCCAAGGGAAGTCAGGACAAGGAGGGCGAAGCCATTAAAGCTCATCTCGGGTTTCATGTCTCCCGACTTACTGTTTGGCAAAGCATGATGCCATGTTTTCCAAAAAGGCACAGGAAAAAAGTGAATGCTGGCTCTATCCATCATGCAGATTTAAAGGGAGGATATTAAAAGATAAAGCACACAAGAGGGGATCGTAACTCAGCATTACTGTTTTAAGGACATGCTGAAGTAGAATTCTGAATGAGCAGGCATTCTGTGGCCTGCCTAGACATAGGAGTGCCATCCCAGGAAGATAGGTAGCTTGGGCGTGAAGGAACAGAGAAGCCAACTTGAAGAGTTGGGATCACTTGTGGAAGAGATTGCCGCAGTGAGAGACAGACCCGCTGATGGCAGCCATGCTTTTGGAAATGTGAGAAAGAAGAGAACCTGGTAGCCTTCTCACCATGCCCATCTGGAATAGCAACTCTGAGCCTGCAAGTCAGCTCTCCATAAAACACATACATATGCAGGGGTGAAAATGCAAAACTGAGAAGTGTAAGAAGGGGGTGAGCATTCTTCCAGGTACCATGTCTTAAACCCATACTTCATTGTTGGAATCATAAGAGAAAATACACAAGGTTTACGTCATCCACGGGACATGAAAGAAATGGGTGGATGTTCTGAAGAAATCCAAACAAACACAGCTATGTTTGCTAGTCACATTCATAAAAAGAAAGAAGGGGGACACTGTAAACACAGATATGAAAATAGCCATACAGAGGGCTCTGGAAGCCTTCAATAGCACATTGCCCTGGTGAGATTCTGCTGCAGACCACACTGAGACATAAACCCACAGTATGGGTACAGACGCGGGGAGTGCAAGGTTTATGTTTGCCCTAAACCAAGTGGCTTATCAACGATTCTGTATGTTATGACTGCCCACATGTAAAAGGGTAAACCAAAACAATTGAAAAGATCTTAAATCACCAAATCTTGAGCAGAAGTGAGAAAGGAATTGGCGAATAATTTTAAAAATAACATTGGAAACAGAAGAGGTGGAAAACATTTTTAGGTTTTATTTATTTATTTATTTCGGATGCTCCTTTGACCCAAGTTCAAGATCAAGTTTTCTTTTTTGGTGCCCACTGATATTCTGGAGTTGTAATCCTGAGGTCCTTGACAGCACAAAACTTGGAGTGTCTACCACCCCCACTCCCTGAATTAAGGAACTGAATTCACCTTCTGTGAAACAAAGTTTAGCTTCGGATAAATCTACTGTGTTTTAAGTATCTTTATATGTATAAATTCCACTGCTTGCGAAGTTAGAAAATGTATAGTCAGGGCATTTTTTTGGTACCTGCATCATTTGATATGAAATCATTCACTGCAACCAAAATCCCCTATCTTCCATGGACAGTCTTAAGATTGAACCTATTTGTTGAACTGAATTATTTTTTTTCATCTTTAATCATTTTAACACATCACAGAAAAGGATTTCGGATGTGGTGGTTATCCACAAGTTTTAACTTTTGTCTCCTTTTCTGAAAGCTTTTTTCAACATTGGGTAATCAGTCAGTCACCTTCCTCATGCTTTCTTTGACCCTACTGCCAACAGTGAAATGGTCCAATTAGAGACAAGCACGTGATTTTAATAGACAGGTTTGATTCTTTTTTCTGTGTCACAACAATGAAATTGGTTAAAAGTTTTCCTACTTCATTCACAATAAGCCAGAAGTCATACCAAGTTATAGCTATATATCAGACATGGACATGCATACTCTTTGGGGAAGGAGGGAGGCCTTAAGTACTTAAGATTAAGAATTCTTCCCCGCTGAATTCAGGACTCAGTACCCTGAAAACTGTGGATGATTTAGATCTCTCATTCTCCAGGCCTCTCTTGGACTCATTAGATTTCCATTGTAAAAGCACTTGTCCCTCACAGATGACAGGGACCAAAGAAAGGTTTCACCATAAATTCCCCACTCCCAGGGGGTTGGGGAGTCCCTTTACCTTCTAAGGGAATGACAATAGAGCAAAGTCTAAGGGGGAATGTCAGCATGCATTTCATGCATTTTTTTTTTTTTTTTTGGCTCTCAAGTTAATTTCCTCCCAGCCTAGTGTGAGGCTCACTGAGTGACCCACATGAAGAAGGCTGCATAGAAGCCATAAACTCTAACCTTTGCAGAATTCCTCTTGGCTCCCTGAAGACCTGCCAGCTGGCTTAGCTTTGCCGAATTGCATCATTCCAGGCCATTGAGAAGGCCCTCAGGAATTTGGGGCCCAATGGTAATCAAAGCTGGTGGGGAGGAGGCCAACCCTACTCACCCTTTTGGGCCTGGCTCTCTACTCCCAGCTCTAAGCCTGCCCTGTCTCTGTATGATGAGTGCAATAGCTCTGAGATACAGCTCTCAGAATCTCCAAAGAACCCATACGAAGGTTCATTCTTGCCATCTTGTGTCCTGGGTCCCCACCCTGCCTAGGTGCAGTCCTGGGTAAAAGGGAAGAGGTGATGGGTCAGTTAAGTAGAGGATATTGAAATTTCCTGTCTGATGCTAAAGAAAAAGTTGGAAACCCTCTCCTCCTCTACTTTTGCATGGTACCTTTTCCAAGTCAGACATTTGCTGCTTTCCAGAAAGCCATCATCAATAAAGAGGCTTGCGGAGGGGCCTGCTGCAGGAGCCATGGATAAAGACATCGCTGCAGGCTAGGATCAGTGTATTGACATCACATAGTTATATTTCAGTGAGATCCCCAGAGGACACTTCCTGCCAGTAAACACCTGGTTTATTGAGTATTTCTGTGTGTTTTTTTTTCATCATGCTTAGAGTGTCTATTATCCTCCTCATAAATTCTGCTTCCTTTTCATATTTTGAAGCCTGAACACAGTGAATGAAATGAATTGTAATTGTCCAGCATTTGTATTCACCCCATCAACTTGCATCAGTTCTTAGGCATGTCCATAGGTCCATAGGTCTGGGTTGTGCTGCTGCCTTGGTTCTGTTGGCAAAGGATGCCTGGGTGAAAGCACGTTGAGGGCTCTTTTGATAGGACTCCACCTAGAGGCATTAGGAGATATGGTGGCTGTAATCCTTTTATGAGCTCCTGCTGCTGCCAGAGTTTGCACCAGGCTGCTAGTGTGGCCCACATTTAATAAGGATGCCCCTACGAGTCCAAAGAAGGCAGACACAAGCGCTTAGGGGAGAAACAAGCCCATCCTCACCACAAAGGAACCAGAAGCCCTCCAAATGTCAATACACTGCTGCATTTTTCCAAACTTGCTGCTGGAGCGGCCTTTAACATCCCCAACGCCCTGCTGTGATCCACCGGCTAAAAACATCGATTGTTAATTGTCTGACCACTACAGAGCAGCTCGTTTTAATGTAGTCATGACATGAATGAGACCCAAGCTCCCCTTTGCCCCTCCCCTGAGGCACCTTGGATCTTGGAGGGAGAAGGGGGCACTGAGCTGGCTACGGCACAATAGGGGCTAGTGTTGAGGTCAGCAATAAATAAGGGGTAACATTGTTTTCCCCACTGGCAATCAGCAAGCCTTCCTTAAGGATTGAAATAACTTACATTTCTGGAGTGAGCAGCTGAGTAATTAAGAAAGAAGACTCTGTTCCTCTTTTCAAGAGACTCAATCTCTCTCTCTCTCCCTCTCTCTCTTCTCTCTCTGTCTCTCTCTCTCTCTCTCTCTCTCTCACACACACACACACACACACACACACACACACACACACACTTCTCTCTATCCCCTTCACCCCCCAATTCCTCAATTGCTGCTCTTACTCTAGTCAGTCTAGCAAGCCAGCTCTATCTCCCTGATTTCTAGCCTAGAGAGGGACTAGCTTGAGGGCTGGAAATGTGCATGTGAAGGGTATGTTGCTTCAAGGGCCACTCCAGTGGAAACAGAAAACTTGTGCATAGGGAGATTGAGACCCAAACATTTAAACAACCCAAACAATAGAGGCAGCAAAGAAAGGCATCTTCTTTTTCCTAATTTTTGCTATAGGATACATGCACTCACCAGAGACAGAGACAGAGATGGGGGTGATGGATGAGAAAGCAGTCCATCCTGCACTCCCTGTCCCCACCCCCAGCAAAAGGATGGCCATTTTCCTGTTGGGATTTTGGGCATGCATACACACTTGGTCAGCGAGTTGTTCAAGCCATCAGGTCCAGTACTGGAACCACAGAGTTGGCTATGTGGAATCCATCCGCCTTAACCTTCACACATTATCTGTTGGCCTCAGCACCTTTTCTTTTTTTTTTTTTTTTTTTTAGAGATTTTTTGCTATAGAGCATGTGTGCTTGCCTGAGAGAGAGATGAAAGCAAGAAATCAACTCTCTGGGGGAATGGCCACACCACAATCCCTTCTCCTTTATTCTCCTCTTGGGATTTTGAACACGCACACATGTGCACTTGGTATGAGTTTGAAGCCATCGGGTCCAGGACTCGAACCACGGTCAACTACATGGGAGTTCAGCAACATAACCATTATGCCATCTGCTGGTCCCTCAGCATCATCTTTTTAATGCTACAGTTCTCCTTTACATACAGGCTCTGAAGATTGTTCAAAAAACTTCACAAGCCCCAATGGGACCATCGAATCCCCTGGGTTTCCTGAGAAGTACCCACACAACTTGGACTGTACCTTCACCATCCTGGCCAAACCCAAGATGGAGATCATCCTGCAGTTCCTAACCTTTGACCTGGAGCACGACCCTTTGCAGGTGGGAGAGGGAGACTGCAAATATGACTGGCTGGACATCTGGGATGGCATTCCGCATGGTGAGTGATGTCATTGTCACTTGTCTGTAGCATGGCCTCTGACTGTTAATTGCTTTAGTGAGGATGAAAAGGAGAAAAAAGACTCTAAAGCTTCTTAAAGTGCTTATATGACCCATGATGACTTTCTTTACTCTTCTTTTCCAAGGCTAAGTTGAGAAAAGTTACAGAAAGACAGTCTACTTTTTTGGAACTACTTTGGAAACAGGAGACTGAGTAGAAACTTAGGAGAGGATGAGAAAATCCATAGGTGATGTTCTTTTCCACTCTGGGTTATCAGATTAGAAAGTGACTCAATGACCAATTGCTATGACTGCGTAGAAAGATTCCAGGGGCAGGGACCAGCAGTTAGCGTAATGGCTGTGTCGCTGGACTCCCATGTAGTCAACTGTGGTTCGAGTTCCGGACTGGGTGGCTTGAACTCACACCGGGCACATGTGCGTGCGTGCCCAAGATCCCGAGAGGAGAATGGAGGAGAAGGGATTGCAGCGTGGCCATCACCCCAGAGGGTGATTTCTGGCTTTCTGTCTCTCTGTCTCTCTGTCTTTCTGGCAAGCACACACACCCTATAGCAAAAACCTCTCAAAAAAAAAAAAGAAATAAAAGAAAGATTGCGGGGCAGACTGACTGGGCTTGAGCTCTGGCTCTACTATCTACCAGCTATGTAATTTTAGACACGTTACTTAACATAGTTGTGTCTTTTCTGTGTAAGTTAGCTGCTATGTTATTATTCTTTTTTTTTCTTTAAAATAGTCAACTTCTAAAAATTTATTTCTTATTTAAGAGAGAAAGACAGAGAGAGACAGGCACCCTCAAAAGAGTCTTAATGCCCAAATCCTACCCCAATCCTTAGCTAGTCTTGATCACGGAAACACATATGTGGCTGGTATACACAGGGAGACCTCAGGATGTGAACCTAGAACCTTCCCATATAGCCCATCTCCCAAGGCTATGAAAACAGAATGAAGCCCTTTCAGTGCAGGTACTTTTTCATATGCAGGAAAAAATGTATTAAGAGATTTTTCTAAAGCATATCTCAGTTGTTCCTTGGATTTTATGTCAAGATGTGCAAAACAGTTTGTTGAATGTCATGTGATGGTGGGAAGGGAGAATGTACTGGAAACCAAGTTTGACGTTTCTATTTCCATTGACCTCTCTTTGTCCTCACGTCCAGTTGGCCCCCTCATTGGCAAGTACTGTGGGACCAAAACACCCTCTGAACTCCGTTCATCAACTGGGATTCTCTCCCTGACCTTTCACACGGACATGGCCGTGGCTAAGGATGGCTTCTCCGCGCGTTACTACCTGGTCCACCAGGAGCCACTAGAGAGTGAGTTGACCCATTGGGATCTCTGTTGTGTCCTTATATCGGGTTGTGAAGATATAGAGGTGAAGAGAGGCTGACCTCTGCAAGAGAAGGAGATGGAATTCCAGAATTCACAGTAGCATCTGAGTTCAGGGAATGGAGCTGTACTCTCTTGCCAGGCAGAAATTAATAGGAAAAGAACATATGTCAACATAGGTATTCATTTCTTTAAAAAGAACAGACTTGAATTAAGAATTAGTTTTTCTCAGGGACCAGCAGTTGGCGTAGTGGCTATGTCACTGGACTCCCATGTAGTCGACCGCAGTTCAAGTCCCAGACCCAGCGGCTTGAACTCACACCCGGGCCATGTGCATGCTTGCCCAGGATCCCAAGAGGAGAACGGAGGAGAAGGAATTGTGGCGTGGCCATCCCCAGGGGGGGTGATTTCTCACTTTGTATCTCTCTGTCTCTCTCTGTCTTTCTGATGAGCTCAAGCACCCAATAGCAAAAAGAAACCTCTCCAAAAAAAGATAAATAAAAGAATTAGTTATTCCCAGAGAAATACAGGGCCATCTCGTGCTTCATTTTTCCCATCTCTGAGTAAAAGGGAAGTTACTTAAGATGATCTATGCCAGGTCCTCTCCTCTAGTAAAGTTTTTTGAGTCTGGGCCATTTTTCTCTCTCTTTAAGCCTTACGGACCTTTGTCACAAAACTAAGCCATTTGGGGGACCAGCAGTTAGCGTAATGGCTATGTCGCTGAACTCCCATGTAGCCGACTGCAGTTCAAGTCCTGGACCTGGTGGCTTAAACTCACGCCGGGCACGTGTCCGTGCATGCGTGCACGCCCAATATTCGGAGAGGAGAATGGAGGAAAAGGGATTGCAGCGTGTCCATCCCGCTGGGGGGTGATTTCTCGCTTTCTATCTCTCTGTCTCTCTCTGTCTTTCTGGCGAGCGCACATGCCCTATACTAAAAACCTCTAAAAAAAAATAAGCCATTTAAGCCTTTCTCTATCTCTCTCTTTCTAAATATCTCTCTCTCTGTATATGTGTGTGTGTGTGTATATATATATATACATACATATACATATATGACATTAAACATCTCCGACCCTGGGTAGGATTTTCCTGGCTAGACTGATACAATTGCTAGCAGCTAGGGCTTCTACTTACACTTCCAGTGACTATAATCTTTGGAGCATCTATGTGCCAGGCACTGTGCAGAGCGTTGAAAACTATCACTCTGACTCCAGCTGTCATGGAACTAGCAGACTCAGCTAACAGTCTCTCGCCCTCAGCTACATCTTCAGATCAGCTGTTCTTGGGCATGTGCTTCAGATGTGCTGCCATTTCCACACAGAAACCCAACTGATAACTGTAAGGACTAAAGAAGCACTTCACAGATGATTAGAGCTGAGGACATCCTGCCATGTCTGTAGGCAGCTCACCACACATTTAACTATAGACATGGAGGCCTGGCCTGCAGAAAAGTCACTGGATTTTATTGTGTGTTTTGTTTTTGTTTTTGTTTTTTTCATAAAAGAACTTATGAAGATTGAGTAACAAGAAAGTACAGCAGCGTGTACCAGGTTTTGCAAATGGTCAGTGTAGCCACAGAACTAAAGAATGGGTTTGATACCTGAAAAATATTGCTGGCCCTTATCAGACATGTGCATGCACAGGTATTGATCAAGGTCCACAGTACCCGTGGGAAGGATGGCAATTTAACTGGTGGCACAAGGCCGTCAGTTAAAGCGTCAGTAAGCAAATTCTGGGTCTATTTGTCCAGACAGGTGGTGAGGGGAATATAGAGTGATGTGCATGCACTCAGAGAGAGGTCTCCCAAAGACAGATATTTATGCTTTGTAACGTCTGTCTTCTGTGCCAGAACTCACAAGACAGTCGAGTGAAAAAAAGCATGAGAGAAGCAGAAGTGCCTCCTGGGTGTTTATTAATAAAGTAGGCTTCCCACAATGTGTCAGCCCACCCAAATTGCCACAAGTCTATCTCACTTTTACCTGTATCGCAATAATGGCACATCTGGCCTCCGTGGGCATCCATAGCCTGCAGCAGTAACACTTCTTTGGCTTTAGATTATATTTTTAATTTGTATGATGATTTTTGTTTATCCACAGTCTGATTTCTTTTTAGTTCAATTTAGTTTTTTTCAGACCCACAGGGGTAGTCAAATTCTATGACTTGTATTTGTTTATAAAATATGAATATATAATTAGGGTCTTTACTATGAGGACATACCTGTAAGGACTTGTCCCTCGAAGAGAGTAGCATTTGGGGGATCCCAGGGCTTTGAAGTGGAGAGGCATAATCTACCCTTGACTATCTTCATTCACAGCCTTTCAGTGCAATGCCCCCTTGGGAATGGAGTCTGGCAGGATTGCCAATGAGCAGATCAGTGCCTCATCTACCTACTCTGATGGGAGGTGGACCCCTCAACAGAGCCGACTCCATGGTGATGACAATGGCTGGACCCCCAATTTGGATTCCAGCAAGGAGTATCTCCAGGTACTTGCTCAGATACCAGAGAGGGCAAGTGTGTGTGTGTATGTATTTATTGGTGGGGTAGGGGGTGACTCCTCATGTAGGGTAAACAAAGGACACAAAGAAACACCAAGCTAGCCAGCAACATGGTGGTTAAGGTTGCTGAATCCTGCATGACCTACTGCATGCTTCGAGTCCAGATCAGTGACTTGATAAACACACCAGGCTGCATGGTTCGAGTCCCAAATCAGTGACTTGATAAACACCCTGGGCATTTGTGTATATGTGCCCCAAATCCCAAGAGGAAAATGAAGAAGAAGGAATTGCAACAACGGTGCTTTCTCCCTTTCCCTCTCTTTCTCTCTTTCTGTCTCTCAGTCTCTCTCTGGCAAGTGCACATGCCCTCTGGCAAAATTAAAAGAAAGAAAGAAAATAAACACAGCATACTTGAAAACTCCATCCATTCATTCAATCATCTAAACAAATACGTATGCCAGGCACAAATAGACTGTCAAGGGCTACACTGCAGGCTGGGTATAATGATGAGTATGAGGGAGAGTGTCCTTGCCCTTGTGAAGGTTACTGGGCCTGGAAGAAGTTATTTGGCCTAGATGCTGTTTACCCTGTCACTATAGATATTCAAAGAACATTCTATAAACAGTTCCAGATCTTCCTTATTCTTGGAACAGAGAGGCATCAGAGACTTTGGGGGGGGTCCCCTAAGGGCAGGTTTGTTGAGGTGTTAGCTGAGCATGGCAGCTCTTCATGATCTTTGCTATTTGGAGAGAGCCCTGCCAGGAAGATTTTGCACACAGCTATCAGAAGAACGCATGGGAAAATGTCACTACCAGGAATGAAACTCGAGTTGCCCAGATGCTCTGCAGCATCTTTGGAGACTATTGTTTGCTTTCTTTCTGAAAACGAGTCATGTTGAGTAATCTTCCTGTACTACAGACTGGTCTTGTTCTCATCCTTTGAGAAGAAGTAAACAGGGGAAGAGCAAGCTGCTAGTTCCATACCAGAACCACAACTGCTTTTATGACATATGGCAGACAGCCTTATGACCCATTGACAAGCTTGTCCTAGCTGTGATGCGACACGGTGACCTCTGCTCTAAGGACATTACAGAGCAGACAACAGGAAAGGGAGAAAGACCACTTAGAAACTCCTGGGAGTCCACAGAGATTCTGACAGCCCAACCCAAGGGCCACTCATCACTGTCTTTCCTCTCTGCCTCTCCAAAAATTCTCATCTTGCCGAGCTTCCAGGAGGTTCTTTATAATCGACACTTCATGAATTATACTCCTTATTTTTGGTCCTTGATCGTATACTTTCTCTATTGCATCCACCTGTTTCTTGTACATGTAGATAGCACTGTGTACTTCTTTTGAGTGTTGTATTTGTAATAATACTGAACACATATTAAGTAGTCAATGAGTGCTTGCTGAATTGAATTTCACCATTATGCACTGGCTAAATTTTGGTCACGTGGAGACTACCATCAAGAAACATTGTCGCCAACAAAGGAATGGCATCCAGCAATTTCCCAATGGGTTTGGCATTGTGGGAGGAGAGGTACCTCAAAATGTTGGCCATCCTCCTTGTAGAGCAAAAGGTCAGGACTTGGTGCATAAGCCTAATTGCTTGGGCAGACTCTGCATGCCCTTTGACCCCTTAGTAACCGGAATGACTAAATACACAATGAAGTGAGGGAGTGTGGGGAGGGGAGACAGCTATGAGCTGTGACTTTTGCAAGGAAGGCATCATAAATGAATTCGATTGAATTGGATTGGATTGGAGTGAAGTGAAGTGGATTTAGCCATTGTTATTTTAAACGGGCATCTGCTTTCACTATCCAAGGCAGGTTGTAGTTTAGCAAGAAGAGATTATTGCTATAGATGTTCAATGATTACGCTAAGAAAAACTGAGTACTGTCTGTTCAAATTTGCAAAAAAGAAAGAATGAAAAAATAATCAAGTTACATTTTCGAGGTGTCTGATTTAGTATCAAGGAAATTGAATTTAATTGTCTGGTGAAATTGCAAACTGATACTAATTACAAATACATCTCAGCAGATCACAGACACAGGTTGTGAGCTAAGTATGTTTGTGTCTTTTGATGAAAAAGCAAGCAGCTGTCCCTTTTTGGGAGTGGTGGTCCCCTTATGCTGCCCCTTTTTTCCCCAGGTGGACCTGCGCTTTCTAACCATGCTCACGGCCATTGCAACGCAGGGAGCAATTTCCAGAGAAACCCAAAACGGCTACTATGTCAAAACCTACAAGCTGGAAGTCAGCACTAATGGTGAAGACTGGATGGTGTACCGGCATGGCAAAAACCATAAGGTAAATCCATTTCCCCACCTCAAAAGCTTGCTGGAAAGGCACAGGAGGGATGGTACAAGAGGAACTTTGAGTGTACCCCACCCAGAGGAAACCTGGTGTGGTGAGGTTCAAATAACTGATGGAGGCCAGGGACATGCCTGCCCTGAAAATTTTCTTTCTTATGCTAAAGCGATTGGAAAACACTTTCTCTGACAGCCTGGCTGCTGTTGCATCTTGCACAGCAGAGAGAGCAAGCTTGCAGTGTTCTGGTTGCTGAATCCTGCATGACCTACTGCATGCTTCGAGTCCAGATCAGTGACTTGATAAACACACCAGGCTGCATGGTTCGAGTCCCAAATCAGTGACTTGATAAACACCCTGGGCATTTGTGTATATGTGCCCCAAATCCCAAGAGGAAAATGAAGAAGAAGGAATTGCAACAACGGTGCTTTCTCCCTTTCCCTCTCTTTCTCTCTTTCTGTCTCTCAGTCTCTCTCTGGCAAGTGCACATGCCCTCTGGCAAAATTAAAAGAAAGAAAGAAAATAAACACAGCATACTTGAAAACTCCATCCATTCATTCAATCATCTAAACAAATACGTATGCCAGGCACAAATAGACTGTCAAGGGCTACACTGCAGGCTGGGTATAATGATGAGTATGAGGGAGAGTGTCCTTGCCCTTGTGAAGGTTACTGGGCCTGGAAGAAGTTATTTGGCCTAGATGCTGTTTACCCTGTCACTATAGATATTCAAAGAACATTCTATAAACAGTTCCAGATCTTCCTTATTCTTGGAACAGAGAGGCATCAGAGACTTTGGGGGGGGTCCCCTAAGGGCAGGTTTGTTGAGGTGTTAGCTGAGCATGGCAGCTCTTCATGATCTTTGCTATTTGGAGAGAGCCCTGCCAGGAAGATTTTGCACACAGCTATCAGAAGAACGCATGGGAAAATGTCACTACCAGGAATGAAACTCGAGTTGCCCAGATGCTCTGCAGCATCTTTGGAGACTATTGTTTGCTTTCTTTCTGAAAACGAGTCATGTTGAGTAATCTTCCTGTACTACAGACTGGTCTTGTTCTCATCCTTTGAGAAGAAGTAAACAGGGGAAGAGCAAGCTGCTAGTTCCATACCAGAACCACAACTGCTTTTATGACATATGGCAGACAGCCTTATGACCCATTGACAAGCTTGTCCTAGCTGTGATGCGACACGGTGACCTCTGCTCTAAGGACATTACAGAGCAGACAACAGGAAAGGGAGAAAGACCACTTAGAAACTCCTGGGAGTCCACAGAGATTCTGACAGCCCAACCCAAGGGCCACTCATCACTGTCTTTCCTCTCTGCCTCTCCAAAAATTCTCATCTTGCCGAGCTTCCAGGAGGTTCTTTATAATCGACACTTCATGAATTATACTCCTTATTTTTGGTCCTTGATCGTATACTTTCTCTATTGCATCCACCTGTTTCTTGTACATGTAGATAGCACTGTGTACTTCTTTTGAGTGTTGTATTTGTAATAATACTGAACACATATTAAGTAGTCAATGAGTGCTTGCTGAATTGAATTTCACCATTATGCACTGGCTAAATTTTGGTCACGTGGAGACTACCATCAAGAAACATTGTCGCCAACAAAGGAATGGCATCCAGCAATTTCCCAATGGGTTTGGCATTGTGGGAGGAGAGGTACCTCAAAATGTTGGCCATCCTCCTTGTAGAGCAAAAGGTCAGGACTTGGTGCATAAGCCTAATTGCTTGGGCAGACTCTGCATGCCCTTTGACCCCTTAGTAACCGGAATGACTAAATACACAATGAAGTGAGGGAGTGTGGGGAGGGGAGACAGCTATGAGCTGTGACTTTTGCAAGGAAGGCATCATAAATGAATTCGATTGAATTGGATTGGATTGGAGTGAAGTGAAGTGGATTTAGCCATTGTTATTTTAAACGGGCATCTGCTTTCACTATCCAAGGCAGGTTGTAGTTTAGCAAGAAGAGATTATTGCTATAGATGTTCAATGATTACGCTAAGAAAAACTGAGTACTGTCTGTTCAAATTTGCAAAAAAGAAAGAATGAAAAAATAATCAAGTTACATTTTCGAGGTGTCTGATTTAGTATCAAGGAAATTGAATTTAATTGTCTGGTGAAATTGCAAACTGATACTAATTACAAATACATCTCAGCAGATCACAGACACAGGTTGTGAGCTAAGTATGTTTGTGTCTTTTGATGAAAAAGCAAGCAGCTGTCCCTTTTTGGGAGTGGTGGTCCCCTTATGCTGCCCCTTTTTTCCCCAGGTGGACCTGCGCTTTCTAACCATGCTCACGGCCATTGCAACGCAGGGAGCAATTTCCAGAGAAACCCAAAACGGCTACTATGTCAAAACCTACAAGCTGGAAGTCAGCACTAATGGTGAAGACTGGATGGTGTACCGGCATGGCAAAAACCATAAGGTAAATCCATTTCCCCACCTCAAAAGCTTGCTGGAAAGGCACAGGAGGGATGGTACAAGAGGAACTTTGAGTGTACCCCACCCAGAGGAAACCTGGTGTGGTGAGGTTCAAATAACTGATGGAGGCCAGGGACATGCCTGCCCTGAAAATTTTCTTTCTTATGCTAAAGCGATTGGAAAACACTTTCTCTGACAGCCTGGCTGCTGTTGCATCTTGCACAGCAGAGAGAGCAAGCTTGCAGTGTTCTCTGACTGCAAATGAAGGAGAAAATGCGTTCCCAGTCCGCATCTCCCCACACAGGATTCATTGAGCATTTATGGCCTGAGTCCCTTCCACATGCTGGGTTAACAATCATGAAACCACATGAAACTACAGTTCAAGAGTTACCGAGGTCTGAAAATGAAAGGGCACAAATCCTGAGAGGGAATCACAATGTCCCGGAGAAGAAAGGGGACAATAAATAATGAGGAGAAATTCAGTTTGTCAGGGATGGGATCTGAACTGGCAATCATGCTTAGCAGTGAGGCATTGAATCCTCTCGGCTGGTGCCCTCAGTGTCTGCAGCTCCCGGAGGTGTGGCCCGTGTGGGTGATGCAGGGCTTTTGTTGCACATATGGATGAGTGTCTGGCGCTCAGGTTTCTTAAGACACATGGCATTCTGGGTCTGCAGCTGGCACTGGCAATGTGCTGTTCGTACAGCACACTCAGCGTATGGAGGTTTATTGGAAATGGCTGGTGGCTAACCTTGGTGGGGCTGGGGGAGTCTGATGGGAGCATTGGCATGGGGGCCCCTGCAGACTATAGTACTGGCTCTCAGGTTTGGAAGGAGAACATGGTGTCCTGGTAATTCCCAGAGGCTCCACATTGTTCCCTGGAAGGAGACTGGGGAGGAAAGAAAAAAGATCCATCCTGCTTAGTGCTACAGTTCTTCCAGGCCCTGTTCTGTCAGGTGGTAAATTATCAAAATAGGGCCTCTATGGCCAAACCTAGAGAGGCCAAAATTTCTCCAATAGGAGTTGTCTCAGCTCCTGATACTGCCCCAGGGTAGCTTGTTCTTGCTGGTACAATTGGAAACCTTGGACCCAGAAAACCCTGAACTATAATGTTGGCAATCTCACATGGAAAATATAAGGTTCTAAAGGAGTGGATTTTTTTAAAAATTAAAATCTCCATAGTAACATAGCACTGTTCATGGCTAACAAGCATGGCTTCTAGATATTACCAGGTATCATATACACACACAGACACAATTTCCCATTTCCTTAGGAGAGAAAGTAAGAAACTTAGCAATGGAAAGACATCCCTACCTGGAGGTATCTGGCCAGGTCTACTTTCCTATGGACTTGGTTTTAGAAAAAGTTGCCAAACACCAGTTGGAAATGGTAAGCCCAGATGCCAAGAGCCCGAGGGGGGGTCAGGGCTCACCCCACCTTTTCAATAAGAAATCAGTAGAACCCAGAAGCTCAGCAAGGCTAGCGAGGCCAGCAGCTAGGTAGGGGTGAGTCCTGGGGAGAAGAATGAGGCTCACCTGCCCGTCTCCCTGTCCAGGCGCAGTGACTAAGCAGAGCTGGCCAGAGGGATACTGTAGCATAAGCTGATTTTAAAAGCACACAGATGGAACAGGATGCTATTTAAAACACCATTTGTAGGAAATCTGCTTTTGGAAATACCTTAGCACTGCACATTTTGATAGAATGCTGTCCTGCCTGGCTTTATCCCTGGTATTCATTCTGCAGGGAAGATATTCCTGAGAATTGAATTTAGCTTTCTGGTCTTCAGAATCATTCTTCTCAACCTTTTCATATGGGATACATTCTCTCTTTTGCCTCCTCTTCCCACCCTTGGCTAAATTCCTTTCCCCAGCAGCCAAGGGGTAGCTTGGGGTTTGTTTTTGTTTTTGTTTTTGTTTTTGTGAATCAGTCTTGCCTAAATAAAAGGAGCTGGAGCAGAGGAAAGACTTTTTTCCCCATTAGAAATTCATCCTCTTGGTACCTAAAGGAGGCAGGAAAATGGAAAGCCTGCCAATTAGTCATTGCCTGCTCCCCAAGCTCCCTCGCCCCACTGCGGATGTGGCAGGCAACCAGGAGGCATTCCCCGTTCTCTCCTGCAAGGGTGATCCCTCTGCCCTCTCATTAGCAGATCTTTCTCCCAGATATCTGTATTTAATGTGCAGATTCCGCACCGTTCATGGTGCGTCAGCACGGCTCTCTGGGCTGTTGGGGTTGAAATAGTTGAGTGAACCGTGCCAAATAGATTTGTCAAGTCTGCCGCAGTTTGATTTGATGCCATGAGGGGGAGGCGGGGTGAGGAGGGGACCTGGGGACTGTGGGGAGAAAGACTTCGTCCAGCCCGGGAGCTACCGCTGAGTCTCTCTCTGTAGCCGCTGGATGGTGGGCACTGTGCCAAGCTAACTGGTGCTAAGTTGGGCTTGAAAGTGAAATTCAGACAGCAGGACCTAGGAGCAAAGCAAAGCAGAGATGGAGGTCACAGCCTGCTCTGTTCTGCGGCACAGGGGAAGGGTTCACAAACTCCTTCCCAATGCACCAGGAGTAAAAGGGGGATTGTGAC